GGCCGGGACGGGGCGGCGGTGACGACGGGGACGACGGGGCGGTGACGACGGGGACGGGGCGGCGACGGGGGCGGCGACGGGGGATGGAGACGTACGGGGGGCGCGGCGGGCGACGGTGCAGAGGAGAAGAAGCAGATGAGAAACTGAAATTTTCATAAGTGTTGTTTATATAGGAGGGGCCTTTAGTACCGGTTGGAGCCACCAACCGGTACTAAAGGCCTGTTTTGGCCAGGCCAAGCGGCGGGAAGCGACCCCCTTTAGTACCGGGTGGTGGCTCCAACCGGTACTAAAGCCCCCCCCCCCTTTAGTACCGGTTGGTGGCACGACCCGGTACTAAAGGGGGTGCGCTGGCGCAGGTGCGGTGCGGCAAGTTTAGTCCCACCTCGCTAGCTGAGGGGCGACCGCACTGGTTTATAAACCCCCGTGCGGTAGCTCTCTCGAGCTCCTCTCCAAAGTAGGCCTACTGGGCCTACATGTTCTGTGCTGCCCTGTAGGCCTACTGGGCCTTTGCGGGCCTGCATCCTGGCCCAACAACAGGTTGGGTTTCTAGTCGTATGCCGGCCGCTTTGGCCTAGTAGGCGGGCTTTTTTTATTTTTTTGCTTTATTTATTTTTGAGTTGTTTTTTTGTGTATTTAGAGTTTCTTTATGAATATTTTTGCTTTAGGTACAAAAAATTACAAACTTTCTGTTAGTGCCCGTAGTTTTCAAATTTGAATAGTTTAAATTTTTAATTATTTGAAATTAGTGTGAATCACTAGTTTGTAAATAACTTAACTTTAAAAATCAGTAAAAGCATGAAAGCATTTGTTTGCACATAAAATTTCTTCGCGTTTCAAATGCCAAAACACATAATTAACTACCCTAACTATTACAGAGATTCCCTTCTGGGTGTGAAACACAGAAGAAAGTGATGATAGTGAAGCCGATCACATCCCAGATCTTTGGGTGTGAAACTTTTTCTTCGCGTGTGTCCCTTTGCGCCGTAATCATGGAAAATCTTCATCATTTAACGGGATGCTCGGGTCAATATTCACTGTGAATGGAGCAATTTCATCAAACTTTTCATAATCTTCTGACTTGTCTGTCTTGTCATCCACTCCCACGATGTTTCTCTTCCCAGAAAGAACTATGTGCCGCTTTGGCTCATCGTACGATGCATTCGCTTCCTTATCTTTTCTTATTCTTAGCTTGGTAGACATGTCCTTCACATAGAAAACCTGTGCCACATCATTGGCTAGGACGAATGGTTCGTCTGCATACGCAAGATTGTTGAGATCCACTGTTATCATTTCGTACTGCGGGTCTTCCGTTACCCCGCCTCGTGTCATATTGACCCATTTGCACCGAAACAAAGGGACCTTCAAACCACGTCGATAGTCAAGTTCCCATATGTCCTTTGACACCACTGTTTTGGTTGGTGCTCTTCTTATCTTGGGCAATCGTGTAAAATGTATTACCATTTATCTCGTACCCTTTGAAAGTCATTATATTCGAAGATGGTAACTGGGACAGCAAGTACAGGTCATCTTCAATAGAGGTGTCATGCATGGTACGTGTCTGCAACCAGCTGGCGAAACTCCTGGTTTGTTCACGTGTAATCCAGTCATCAGACCGCTCCGGGTGTTTGGAGCATAGCAAATTCTTGTGTTCATCCATATACGGAGCCACCAAGGCGGAATTCTGTAAAACTATGTAGTGTGCTTCAGTGAGAGAATGTCCGTCCATACATATTATTTGTTCCCCTCCTAGCGTGCCTTTTCCATCCAGTCTTCCCTTATGCCTCGATTCAGAAACACCAATCGGCTTAAGGTCAGGAATAAAGTCAATACAGAACTCAATGACCTCCTCATTTTGACGGCCCTTGGAGATGCTTCCTTCTGGCCTAGCACGGTTATGAACATATTTCTTTAAGACTCCCATGAACCTCTCAAAGGGGAACATATTGTGTAGAAATACAGGACCCAAAATGTTAATCTCTTCGCATAGGTGAACTAGGACGTGCGTCATGATATTGAAGAAGGATGGTGGGAACACCAACTCGAAACTGACAAGACATTGCACCAAATCATTCTCTAACCTTGGTATGATTTCTGGATCGATTACCTTCTGAAAGATTGCATTGAGAAATGCACATAGCTTCACAATGGCTAATCGAACGTTTTCCGGTAGAAGCCCCCTCAATGCAACCGGAAGCAGTTGCGTCATAATCACGTGGCCGTCATGAGACTTTAGGTTCTGGAATTTTTTCTCTGCCATGTTTATTATTCCCTTTATATTCGACGAGAAGCCAGACGGTACCTTAATACTGAGCAGGCATTCAAAGAAGATTTCCTTCTCTTCTTTGGTAAGAGCGTAGCTTGCATGACCCTGATGTATGCCGTCTTTTCTGTGCATATGTTGCTGGTCCTCTCGTGCCTCAGGTGTATCTTTTGTCTTCCCATACACGCCCAAGAAGCCAAGCAGGGTCACACAAAGATTCTTCGTCACGTGCATCACGTCGATTGCGGAGCGGACCTCTAGGTCTTTCCAATAGGGCAGGTCCCAAAATATAGATTTCTTCTTCCACATGGGTGCGCGTCCGTCAGCGTCATTCGGAACAGGTTCTCCACCAGGACCCTTTCCAAAGACCACCTTCAAATCCTTGACCATATCATGTACATCAGCACTAGTACGGTGGCGAGGCTTCGTCCGGTGATCCGCCTCACCTTTGAAATGCTTGCCTTTCTTTCTTACGGGATGCCTGCTCGGAAGAAATCGACGATGTCCCAGGTACACATTCTTCTTACAATTAGCCAAATATATACTGTCGGTATCGTCCAAATAGTGCGTGCATGCGCGATATCCCTTGTTTGTCTGTCCTAAAAGGTTACTGAGAGCAGGCCAATCATTGATGGTCACGAACAGCAACGCCTTTAGGTCAAATTCTTTCCCCATGTGCTCATCCCACGCACGTATACCTGTTCCATTTCACAGTTGTAAGAGTTCTTCAACTAATGGCCTTAGGTACACATCAATGTCGTTGCCGGGTTGCTTAGGGCCTTGGATGAGCACTGGCATCATAATGAACTTCCGCTTCATGCACAACCAAGGAGGAAGGTTATACAAACATAGAGTCACAGGTCAGGTGCTATGGTTGCTGCTCTGCTCCCCAAAAGGATTAATGCCATCTGCGCTTAGACCAAACCATACGCTCCTTGCGTCATCTGCAAACTCCTTCCCGTACTTTCTTTCGATTTTTCTCCACTGCGACTCGTCAGCGGGTACTCTCAACTTTCCGTCTTTCTTACGGTCTTCTCTGTGCCATCGCATCGCCTTGGCATGCTCTTTGTTTTGGAACAAACGTTTCAACCGTGATATTATAGGAGCATACCACATCACCTTGGCAGGAATCTTCTTCCTGGGGCGCTCGCGCTCGACATCACCAGGGTCATCGCGGCTGATCTTATAGCGCAATGCACCACATACCGGGCAAGCGTTCAAATCCTCGTACTCACCGCGGTAGAGGATGCAATCATTAGGGCATGCATGTATCTTCTGCACCTCTAACCCTAGAGGGCAGACAGCCTTCTTTGCTTCGTACATACTCTCAGACAATTCGTTGTCCTTTGGAAGCATATCCTTTATCATTACCAGCAACTTTCCAAATCCCTTATCAGATACACCATTCTCTGCCTTCCATTGCAGCAATTCTAGTGTGGTGCCCAGCTTTTTCTTGTCACCTACGCAATTCGGGTACAACAATTTTTTGTGATCCTCTAACATGCGTTGCAACTTCTTCTTCTCCAAATCACCTGCGCAGTTTCTCTTTGCATCGGCAATGGCCCGACCTAGATCATCAACGGGCTCATCTGATGCCTCTTCTTCAGCTTCTTCCCGCATTGCCGGCTCAGCTTCTTCCCGCATTACCGGCTCAGCTTCTTCCCCCATTGTTGTATCATCGTATTCAGGGAACCCATGGCCAGGATAGCTGTCGTCGTCCTCTTCTTCTTCATTGTCTTCCATCATAACCCCTCTTTCTCCGTGCTTGGTCCAAACATTATAGTGGGGCATGAAACCGGACTTAAACAGGTGGACGTGAATGGTTCTTGACGTAGAGTAACTGTGACCATTCTTACAGCGAGCACATGGACAAGGCATAAAACCATCCGCCCGCTTGTTTGCCTCAGCCGCAAGCAGAAAAGTATGCACGCCCTCAACGAACTGGGGAGAGCATCGGTCATCGTACATCCATTGCCGACTCATCTTCATTACACAACACCGAATAGACCAAATTAATACAAGTTCATACATAAAGTTCATACAACACTTAAATGCAACAAACAAATAACTCTCTAGCTAAAGCATTTAAATGCAACAACAAATACGATCAAGATCGCAACTAAGATAACAATGGATCCAACAGCATAATGATACCAAGCCTCACTATCGATGGCATATTTTCTAATCTTTCTAATCTTCAAGCGCATTTTCTCCATCTTGATCTTGTGATCATCGACGAGATCGGCAACATGCAATTCCAATTCCATCTTCTCCCCCTCAATTCTTTTCAATTTTTCCTTCAAATCCTCGTTTTCTCTTTCAACTAAATTTAACCTCTCGACAATAGGGTCGGTTGGAATTTCCGGTTCAACTACCTCCTACATACAAATATCTATGTCAACTTGATGGGCATAATTTGTCATAAACACGAAATGCAACTAGTTTTAAAAGAGAATATATATACCACATCCGAATCATAACAAGGACGAGGGCCGACGGGGACGGATATCAAAACCATGGCACTATATGTATAACAAACAACGTACGGGTAAGATAATTATACGAGTAACTATATACCCAAATCACACAAACATCAATTTTTATAAAAAAAATCATGAACAAGAGGCTCACCACAAGGTGGTGCCGGCGACGGGACGGTGCGGGCGATCGCCGGTGGTTAAGACGGAGATTTAGAAGGCACTAAGTAAACCACACCTATATATGCAAACTAAGTGTTATTTTTGATCTCAAATTGCATATAAATCAAATACTAGCGCGCGCACACACACACACACACACACACACACACACACACACACACACACACACACATATATATATATATATATATCCTCCCAAATTAGTAAACTCAAAAATCAATCACTATATAAAGCATTGCACGAGCTAATCTAGCAATGAGAGATGAAAGGACAAAGTGCTAACCTTTGTGATGATTTGAATGGATGGGGGTCTTCAAATCTTGACAAATTTTGGGCAAAATGTGTGATGAGCTTGAGAGGAAGAGGGGAAGAACAGAGAGGAGAGGGGAAAGGGGAAGAACAGAGCGAGCTCGGGTGGACGAAGGGTCTATGTAGGACGACCTTTAGTACCGGTTCGTGCCAAGAACCGGTACTAAAGGGGCTGGAGGGGCCCAGTCTGACAACATCCTGCCACCACTCTCATTAGTACCGGTTCGTGGCACGAACCGGTGCTAAAGGTTCGCCACGAACCGGTACTAATGAAAGCGGCCCAGCTCGCCGTTGGAACCGGCACTAATGTATACATTAGTGCCGGCTCAAATACAAACCGGCACTAATGTGCTTCACGTTTGACCATTTTTCTACTAGTGAAAGTACTTCAAAGCAGCGGGGAAGCGGGCACGACCGGCGACTGATTCGGCCTTAAGACGCGCGTCCTCCTCGCTCCACTCAGAGTAGTGCCACACCCTCTTTCAGAACTTTCTCTCGTTGTGTTCCTCTTTGGTCTCACTGGGAAAAGATCCACGGGGAGGCTGCGGCCGCACCGACATGGTCGATGGGGTGATTGTGGCAGCGAAGAAAAAGGGCGAAGAGATGGGGCGGGTTATGTGGGTTTGCGATACTTTTTATTTAATTTCCGTTCTCGTTGATGGGGCTCTAGGGGTGAGTGTGGCGGCGACGACGATGTGGGGTTTATATACCCGCAAAGAGGTGTGCTCGACAGGAATGGGGGCTGAAACTTTCGTTTAGGTATAAAGAGATGTGCTCGTCGGGTGTGAAATGTGCTTATAACATTGTCAAGACGGAAGCGTCAATAATATGGATGACCGCGTCATTGATCGTGCTTCATGGGGGCGGAAGAAGTCGGGCTGAAACTTTCCTCCTGCGCGAGCAGTTGGCGGATGGAGAATGTTTCAAACCAACGCCCCCAACCACCAAATAAAATACGAAGGCTCATAGGCTGGATATAGAGGGTCCTTCATAAATATATGGTGACTCAAGGCCATAATTGTATTTAGGCAAAATCGAGATATCATCGGTTATTATGCCGTTCGACCTGATATACGACTCTGTTAGAGTCGTTCTACAGGCATCATTAACCAAACTCCTAAATTTTAACTCATAATAAAAACTTAACTCCTCAAGTTTGAGTAGTTAAATATAACTTGAATCTAACCGAATTCCTAAATTTTTAACGCTTGAAAAAAGATTGCACACAAATTCATTTAAAAACCAAATTTAAGCTACTTAAACCAAAGACGTCGTTGGATTATTATTTTGGATTGAATTTTGAATTTACACATGGAAGGGGGTCAAATCATCTAAAACTCAAAGATCCCTTGATTTTGATTTTTTTTAGTCTACTCTAAGATCCCTTGAATTTTCTTAGTCTACTACTGTATAAGATTTTTTTTAGTCTACCGATGCGGATGTGAGCAGGCGGCTAGGCGTTCCTGCGCGGGCGCGTTTGGTCGGAGCCGATCAACCCCGGGGTGCAACAATTGTTCTGCGCGCATCTAGATCCACCCCGGCACCATGTCTTCAGAGGAGCTCACAATCACAACAAGGTTCTTAGATTTGGCGGTGGCTTCGCAGGCTCCGATGACCAGCCAAATCACTTGGGTTTAGGGTTTAGGGTGCAGGTGACTTGTTCCAGTGAGGACCTGCACGACGTCACGCTCCATTTCCAGATCATAAGCTGTACATAACCACAAGGTTTCACTTGTAGTAACTTATTGCCAAGATACTCACAACTCACAATGTTTGATGGGGCTTCCAAGCAAACTGAGGTCGTCTAAGTTCGTTCTGAAATGTGAGCAATGTTTGGTTGGTGACTCTTGCCTACGGTTTTAGAGTTGTTTGTGTCGTGCTGACTGAAAATTCCATTGTTTGCGTTGAGCTCTGGTGAAAATTATCTGATTGAGACGTAGCTTTGATTTGTGTTCCCTGTTCCTCGCTTCTGGATTTGGGCATTGGGCCAAATTTTGCAGCAAAATGTAACTCAACACAAAGACACTGGAGTAGAAATCTTACCTGCAAAACCGGGGCTTCTTGGGACGCAGTTTTCAGACAGTCTGTCGAGGTGGGTGGCGCAGAAAAATTATGCCATAAGCTGTCAAAGGGATGTTCTACTAGATGTGTGTGATTCAGTTAGTTGAGGTCAAGGAGAAAAATCATATCATTTGTAAAGCTGCCAGCCAAAGGAAGATGTTCTAGCAGGTGTCTATGTTCAGTTTCAGTTAGTAAAACGAGTAATTTTTTAACATGAAGCTCTGAACTTGTCTTAAGCATTTGTTGTAACATGAGTACATCAAGTATGCAAGTGTAAGCGTTTGTTATCGTCCCCGTGTGAGTTAAGCTTGATTCATCATTTGTACACAAACTTGGAATATGGGTAGCCATATTTTGGATGGATGAATATTTTTCTTTGAATCATATACATATTTGTCCACAATGTGGTATGATCTCCATTCTGCTCTTTGTCAAACATTTCTGTTTTGAGCTCCTCTTTTTTTCCCCATGCAGATCTATGCATGGATAGGATGCAACAACTCGGCAAAGTTTGGCCATTTATATGCTGCTGCAAGCCTGCAACCACTCGGCCGGTAACAAGCAATCAATATAACCTTAAGAACTGGTGTATAAATATTTCTATTGACACTGATCATTGCGCCATCATGGCCGTTGCAGGGTAATGGAGTGAGTGTCGCATCTGTGCTTGGCGGAACATCTGATAACACTGGGTCAAGCATGGCACACCGCTTAGGTAGTTCAGTTTCTGCTGCAATTGGCCCACCGTCATCATATTGGTATGAGAAACACCAAGCTCACGTCACCTCATGTTTCAGTGCTCAAGACAGGTCTAAATATAGTTTTAGCATGTAATATTCCGAAAGACAGCCCCATGCTTGAGGTACTAGCCGGAACATCTTCGTGTTAGAATTGCCAAGTTCTGTATCTGATGGGTGCACTGTTTTCAGGCTGCTGCAGAGAGGAAACTTGTAGAGAAGCTGAGAATATCAGATCCAAAACAGGAGAGGCTAACGCTCACGCTGATGGATACTTGTGAACTGTCGAGTCCTTCCTAGAGAAAGTCACCACCCTTATGTGTTTGAAACATTATCGAATCATTATCGAATCATTGGTGGACTTACTGAATGTAGGCATGATGATCTGAATTTTTTGTTTGGAGAAGTGGCTGGCAACGGCACTCGTGTAAAACGAAAGGAAAAACAATGTAAACTACGCTGTAATACAGGGTTCCGTAGTCCTGGGAAAGAAAGAAAAACCTGGTTGGGTGTTTTGCTCACCAGTTGTTTTTGTTTATGGTTGGTTGTCATAGACAAGTACATTTGCGATAATGAGGCCGATAACGAGGTGGTCGCCCTAATGAGTTCTTGCTATGATCTACTTGTCAGGATATATATACTGTTTGGATGGCACCCTAACCCTTGTGCTGGTGGTTGCGTTCCGTCCGGTACCAGCTTCCAACATTGCCCTGCAACTCTAGGCAGGTAACAAAGCTGCATCTGTAGTATTACCCAATTATTTTACTGCTATAGTCCAGTTTAGCGTTACAGCTGTAAAAATAAAAACAGCATACAGTACATATATAATTGATGCTAATGCCGTTTGCTGCTGATTTACATGTGAAGGCCTTAGCGGCTGACATCTATCTTGATCCCTAAGCCGTCAACACAATGGAGAAAACATACACGCCACTGCTCCAGGAAGAACAGAGCTCCAAACCAAAGCCAGAAGCCGAAAACGATGCCAATAATTACAGAGTAACACAGCCCCAGGTCCCTGAGTTCTTTGTGGTCTCCAGCTCCCTGGCCCAACGTAGGCTCACACGCGCTCAGCGGGAAGCCACAGAGCCCCAGATTGTTGCCATATATTGATGGATCTGCAAGTGTCTGTAACTGATTCCCGTTGGGTATGTGGCCCTGTAAGTGATTGTTTGAGAGATTTAACACGCTGAGGGATGGCAGACTGGAAATGCTACCGGAATTGGTTGGACAGATGGGGGAAGATTATGCCTCATGGAGTTCAAGTTTCCGAAGGCTACCGGAATTGATCCTGTCAAGCTATTGTTGGCCATATCGAGCAGCTGGAGTTGCAAAAGACTTGATAAGTCCGTGGGGATTTCTCCGGTGAAATTGTTTGATCTAAGTCTGAGGATTTTCAGTGATGGAAGCTGACTCCCAATCCATGTAGGGATACCACCAAAGAACTGGTTGTTCCCGATGTCCAGGGTGGACAGGGAGATGCAGCCTTGGAGGAACGGCGGGAAGGCGCCCATGAAGCCATTGCCTGCAATATGAAACGACTCAAGGGAGCAATTGTGGTTTGGCATGTCCATGTGGAGCTCACCTGAGAAGGAGTTGTTGGACAGGTCCATGACTTGCAGATTAGAAAGTTGGGATAACTCGGGTGGAACGACACCACTGAAGTTGTTGGATGGGAGGCTCAGAACTGTTAGAAGAGGAACACTCGTTCCAACCCAAGAGGGGATATCACCCAAGAACATGTTGTTCCCAAGATCTAGGATGACGAGTGATCTGCAGGTTTCAATTACGGATGGAAAAACTCCAAGAAAGTTATTGTTAGCAAGACCAAGGGACTGGAGTTTGAGGCCCAGGCTCGTTGATATAGGAAGCTCACCTGAAAATCTATTCTTGGACAAATCCATAGCAACCATAAGTTTGAATTCCCACCAGCAATTTGGGAGCTCCCCGGTGAGTTGGTTATTTGATAGGTCCAGATCCTGGAGAGATGTCAATCCGCAGAAGGTTTCATGAATGTTGCCAGATATTCGATTATCGTTCATGTGTAAGCGTGTAAGATTGGTGCACTGTGACCAATCAGACGATGATAAGTTGCCTGTCAGCTGATTCCCCGAGACATCGAGGTATTCCAAGTTGGGATGGACACCAAACACCTCGGAGATGTCGCCGGTGAATTGGTTGCCTTCCAGCAGCACCCGCAGCAGCGCCGTGCAATTTTTGAGGCACGATGGCAGCCTGCCGCTGAAGTTGTTGCGGTGTGCCGTGAAGTTTTGCAGCTTGAGACCGTCACATAGACTCTGCGGCAGCTCGCCGGAGAAGCTGTTGTGCCCCAAGCTCACGACGGTTAAGTTTAGCCCCTTGCCAAGGTCCGGCGGTATGGTGCCGGTGAAGTTGTTGTCAGACAGGGCGAGGTATTGGAGATTCCTGAGCGATGTGATGGTAGCGGGAAGCTCGCCTTCGAGATTGTTGTCGCGGACGGCCAAGCCCTTCAAGGTCACCATGCCGGCTATCTCCCGTGGAATAGCGCCGGTGAGGTTGTTGAACCGGAGTCCCAGCCACGTGAGCTGCTTGAGGTTACCCAAGGAGCTAGCTAGGGATGGGTCCCGTTAGATTATTCTCCGATAAATCCAAGTGTTCCAGAGTCCAGACTCACCAGCCCGCCCAGCTCTGCGGGGATAGAGCCCACAAGGTGATTATTGTAGAGGAAGAGGCCGACGAGGCCGGAGAGGTGGCCGAGCTGCGGCGGGATGGAGCCGTTGAATCCATTGTCGCCGAGGTGGAGCGTGGCGAGCGAGCGCAGCCGCGAGAGGCTCGCCGGGATGGAGCCTGTGAGCATGTTGTCGCTGAGGTCGAGCACGGCCAGGGCTGGAAGCGTCGAGTGCGTCGAGCGTGCCGGTAAGCCCGAGCGACCCGAGGCTGAGCGACGTGACCAGGCCGGCGGCGTTGCAGTCCACGCCGGGCCAGGAGCAGGCAGGCCTTGCCTTGCTCCAGCTGGACAAGACGGTTGGGTCGCCTAGGCTGACCTTCCATGCCAGAAGGGCGTCGGCCGGCGAGGTCGCCGCGGTGGTGGTCAACAGGAGGAGGAGGAGGAGCGCGACGGTGCCAAGGAGTCCCGCCATGTCCTCTCCTGTCCCGTGGCTGAGATACTGCTGGGTTAGAAATAGAAGTGCCGGAGGGTTTTGTGTGGTGTGACTTCGACCAGTGACCTCGCCGGTCCTTGGCCTTGTTTTGCATCCTGTCTTTAGCGCCAAAGGATGGGCATCTTTCCATGTACTACTGCTTAACATTCGTATTGATAAGGTGGACCTCTCTGCCTTTTATAAATACTAGTCACGTTAATTTAAAAGTATATTAAGTGCATGCGGATATTGAGTAGAATATTATTTACGTGTTATTATGTGATTAGCATTATTTTTGGCATGAAATTAACTGCACGCTAAACGTGTTGAGCGCTCGACATCGAAGTAGCCTAGGTCGTTGGATTGACATGATTTGGTGACCGAGATTAATTGGATCTGCTTCTTTAGGTCTTTTTATATTGGTATAGATACTAGCAAAAGGCCTATGCGTTGTAACAGAAAATAATAATTCATAATCTTTAATGGTCATGATCACATTTTGCTTTTTTTAGGCAATGACCACATTTTGCTGCATGACGAGATAAACTATCCCTCTCAATTTTGTGAAATCATGAATAATTTTTGAAACCATCAACATTTTTTAAAACTCGTGAAGGTATTTGAAATTGTGAAAATTTAACAAATTTGTGAAGACTTTTTCAAATTTAAGAACTTTTCCATAATCAAGATTTTTTTTTGAATTCATGAACACTTTATACTATTTGCAAACATTTTCTAAACAATTTTCTTAAATTGATGAACATTTCTAGAATCATCGCACATTTGTTTCAAATTGGTGGAACAATTTTTGAAATTCATGAATATTTTTATGATTTAATGAACATTTTTTGAAATGAATGATAATTTTTTGAATCAGCGAACATATTATGAATGAAGAAACTCGCTTGCAAGTCAAGAATAGTTTTTGAATTTTTAGGATATTCTTCCATTCATGCACATTTTTCTAATTGATGAAATTTTGTACAATTTCCATCACATTTTCTAATACACGACTTTTTTAAAAACTCATGAACATTTTGATTTCCCAAATATTTGTTTTCAAAATTTATAAGCAAATATTTTTTTAAAAATAACAAATATTTTTTGAGTCCACAAACATTCTCTGATTTATTAAACATTTTACTGGAAAATTCTATTTTTCTAAAAGAAAATCGGAACTTTTTCTATGTCTAAATTAATTAAAATTAGAAAAAATGAAAGTGGAAAAGAAAAAGGAATAAATAAAAACAAAAATATCAAAACTGGCCGCACAGAGATGGGCCGGCTCAAACAGACACACTGCGTCTTCTCCAGCGTGCAGAGCGCAGTATAGGACGTCCCTACTGCATGGGTGGGCCCAGGCAAGGATTTCCTTATGTAAATTAGTTTTTCTTTATCACATATAGATGGCATTGGTGAGTAATATTTTTCAACTTTAGGGGCAATTTTCCGTGACGTACCGCCAAAATCAATAGTCCCTTTATTATTATTTGCAAAATGACCAGTGCGTTGCAACAAAAAAAAACAATTCATAATATCCAATGGCGATGACCACAACTTGCTGCATCACCGAGATACACTACCACTCTCAATTTCGTGAAATGATGAACAATTTTTGAAATCATGAACAATCCTTTAAACCCGTGAACATATTTGAAATCATGAACAGTTTTTAAAATTCGTTAAAACTTTTCAAATTTTTGAACAGTTTCTAAGATCAACAACATTTTTCCAATCCATGAACATTTTATACTATTTGGAAACCTTTATTAATAAAATTATGAACATTTTTAAACAATTTTTTTGAATAGGCGAACATTTCTAGAATTGACAAACATTTTTCAAAAATTGGTGGAACAGTTTTTAATATAAAGAATATTTTTTCTAAATGCATGATCATTTTTTAAATCAGCGAATATTTTATAAACAAATAAACTATTTTGGAAGTCATGAACAGTTTTTGAATTTTTTGGATATTTTTCCATTCATCAATATTCTTTGAATTCACAAAATTTAGTTCAATTTCTTTAACATATTTTAATATATAAACTTTTCAAAAAATCATGAAATTTATTTGAATTCCTAGACATTTTTTTACAAAATCAAGAACATTTTTTTAATCCACAAAAACTTATGATTTATTAAGCATTTTATTACAAAATTCTCATTTTTTAATTTTGGAACTTTCTGATGTCACAAATTATTTAAAGTAGAAAAAACGAAAAACGTAAAGAAAAACAAAGAATAAAACTCGAAATTTAAAACATAGGCCGCCCATGGACGTTGTATGTTCTCTCAGTGCGCAGAGCGTTGTATAGGAGTTCCCTACTGCATTGGCCGGCCAGACTAGGGATTTCCATGTGTAAAACCATTCCTTACCACTTATAAATGGTATTGATGGTTAATATTTTACAACTTTCGACGCAATTTACGTGAGTACTTCCACAAGGAATAGCCCCTTTGTTATTGGGTACAGACAAACAAAGCAGCACGTGCATTGCAATGGGAGAACAATAATAGTAAAAATCTCTAATGACCATGATCACATTTTGCTGCATCACCGAGATACACTATCACTCTCACTTTCGTCAAATCGTGAACAATTTTTGAAAATAATGAACATTTGTTTTAGAACTGGTGAACATATTTTAAAATAACGAACAATTTTTGAAAATAATGAACATTTTTTAAAATAAGTCTCATATAGTTTTTGAATTTTGAGGATATTTTTCAATTAATGAATAATTTTTAAATTGGCAAAAAATCAATTTAATTAATTGTTTTAGTACTTAATAATTTTTTAAGAATCATGACATTTTTTCATTTGCCGAAAATTTATTTTCAAAATTATGAATATTTTGTGAATATGTGAACGTTTTTTAAAACTGTGAACATTTTCTGAATCCACACACGTTGATGAACTATTTACAAAATTATTTCAAATTCTTTTTTTTAATTGTAGGAACTTTTCGAAGTCTCAAATTATTTAAAGTGGAAAAAAGAAGATGGAAAAAAAACATGACGTCCAGACATGGGCCAGCGAAACAAATGCCCAGCATGCCAGAGGGTAGTATAGAAGATTCCTTGTGCACTTTCTCAAACAAAAAAGATTCCTACAGCATTTATCGGATCAGGCAGGGATTCATCTGTGTGAAACGTTTTTCTATATTTATTGATGGCCTCAGTGGATTAAAAAAATGGTATAAATGGATTGACTATTTATCACTCTGGATGAGGAACAGTTACTCTTCACTCCCTCTATTTTAACATAAATGCGCCATATATTTACGTTTCATAAATTTTTGTCTTATTTTCATACGGAATAAGAGAACGTAACAAAATATGTAATCACCATAAAAAATATTTTATATTACATAAAATTATAGTCATAAAAATATAGTGTAAAATATACATAAAATGTATTTTTTTTCTACTGTTATGATCTATATTTTTGTTTTTTATGCCAAATTTTATATAATGAATCAACATGAATGTAATTAATCGTATTCCATATGTAATTTATTTATAAAACGATCGTAAGATTACCTTGGGTGAAGAATAACTTATTCTGCATCCTAGATGATGAATATATATAGACCATTCGTCACCTTGGGTGAGGAATAGTTATTCTTCACCCCTCTATTTTAATAGCAATGCATCGTAATTTTATATTTTGTAAATTTTGTCTTATTTTATACGTAAAAATAGATCGTAAGAAAATATGTAGTCGCTGTAAAAAATATTTGATTTTACGTAAAATTTCAAACGTAAAAATATAGTGTAAAATCTACATAAAATACATTTTTTCTGATCTTATGCCAAATTTTATGTAGTGAATCAAGATGAATGTAACTATTTTTATTTCAAACATACTTTACTTATGAAACGATCATAAAATTATCTCGGGTGAAGAATAACTTATTCTGCACCCTGGATGATGAATAGTTACATTCTATTGATTCATTACGTAAAATTTGGCATAAGAAAATAAAAATATAGGTTATAAGACAAGAAAATTTACAGTTTATATGTATTATACACTATATTTTTATATTTGTAATTTACATAACATAAAATATATTTTACGATAATTATATATTTTCTTACGGTCTCCTTTTACATCGAAAATAAAATAAAACTTACGGAACGTGAAACTACGGTGCATTGATGGTAAAATAGAGGGTTTGAAGAATAACTATTCGTCATCCAGAATGACGAATAGTCAATTGCTTAAAACATTCAAATATAACCGTCATAATATAAAGTTTCATCATCGCGTTTTCAAATTAAAACATGCGAAATTCACCGAAAAGACATCACTTCAAACACAATGTTTGATCCAAAAGCATCACCACAAACATAGCATGTATATGTTGTGGATC